CTTCTACTGCATCACCATACAAAGTGTCCATTGGTTCACATTTCACCTCCACCTTCACACTGGGATCCAGGCCCTCCTCCACCTCCTCTCGCTCCCTGTCCTTCTTTTTCTTCTTCTTTTTCCTCTTCTCCTCGCCTTCCTGAAGGGGGAGCTCCGTCATTTCTTCCTGTATTTCAGTGACCGGTTCCTGTTTTACAGCCCTCTCCGCCTCCTCCACATCTTCTGTCTTTATCCGCTTTTCTTTCTTTTTCTTCTTCTTCTTCTTCTTCTTCCTCCGCCCTTCCTCGTCTTCCTCCTGCCATGTTTCTCCTGCAGGTCGCTTCACTACGAGGGGTTGGAGAGTTGCAGACGAGGGCCCGAATGTGGCTCCGTCTGCTTCGCTCTCTGCCACGCAGGTCAGCGTGGGGGTCCTGCTGCCGAAGGGGTGGAATCGCTGCTTTAGCCCCGGGGGGATGGAGGGTGCGGGGGCCGCGGGGATGAACTGGGGGGCCTGGTTGGCGCTGCTGTCTCCGTAAGTCTCACACACGTTCAGCAAGCCAGAAAAAGCGGGGCCGAAAACCACATCATGTGAGGACTTCTTGGTGCTGGTGAGCAGGCACAGGCCGGAGGTGCCGTGGGGGGAGGCCAGGAGGCTGTAGATCTGATGCTTACTGCCTGTCTTAGCTCCAGTAGGAACCCTCAGGGACTGGAGACCTGAGAGGGGGACCTTCACCTCACTGAAACTGAAGGGAGGAGAGGCAAGGTCAGGCTAATTCACACAAAGCATGCTGGGAACAGTTTACACCAACAACATTGTTTTATCTACTTTTGGGGGACATCTGATGTTTTAGCATGAAGACCCTCTACAGCCCCATCTGCTGGCCACCACACACACAAACTGCCCCACTGTCAGGCTGACTTTTTTTATACATACACATATATTGATATATATATATATATATATATATATATTGATATAGATGTTGTATTTGAATCAAAACTCTTCTGTCTTTTAATTATTATTTCTGAAGAGATTATAAGGCTTTGATGAGGCCTTGTAACTTTATAATTATTTAATGAATGGTCAATGAACTGCAGCAACTGTCCCTTACATCACTCATAATGTTTGCTACTGGAGCCTTACTTGGTCTGGTATGACCGGTAGCTAACAGAAGCATTTTAGATATTACTGGCATTACTAGCTTTTTGTATGAGTCCTATATCACATCATTTAGTCAGCATTTGACCACTTCTGGGTCCCCTGTCGCAAAGTCAATGTCTCTTTAACAAAACGTGTAAATATCATAAAAAAGTTTTGCCACAGAGTTCATTTTGTGAAATAATACGATTTACAATAGAAAAATCTAAAGACAATATGTCATCACTGCACCACTCTGTTAACTTGGGACCTATGATTACTTGTACATTTTCCCGTTGCGGGACAAATAAAGGATTTCTGATTCTGACCACTTATCGCTGTCCTGTTAACATATATTAAAATGATTGGTGCAATGTATGCAGCCTCAAAACTATGAAAACAAAAGCAGTGATCCACAGGAAAACATATTTTGTTATGCGATTCTTTGATATAGACCAGGGGTCGGCAACCCCTGGCACGCGTGCCACCATTGGCACGTGGCACCGTAACCAGTGGCACACTAGGAATAAGTGGAATAAGTATGCAAAATATTTAAATTGTATTTTCAGATCCTGAACGAGACCGCCGCCAGAGCGCGTCTCCCTGCAGAAGGAAGCCATGCACGCAACGCAGCCCTGCTCTCTTTATCTCCAGGTGACTTTCTGCCGCTGTCCTCCGTGGTGCTGATCGTTTCACCACGGAGGAAAGCACTTCACTAATTGCAGTATCCATAAGGAGCTGTACACATGCCGCAGTTTCTGCGTGGCTGTGTCTTTAGTTGAAAGCCCAGTGGCGATCTGCTCATCTCTCATTGAAATATCATGCTACAAAGGGGCGGACTGGCCATCTGTGCTCTGGAGAATCACAGAACGGACGATCGTCCTTATTATTATGCCGTTTAAACCAATTATTTAAATGTGTTTGTTTAATTCGGCATCATGTAACAGGTCCACACACTGCTTCCCCGCAGCGAGGCACCCCCGACCTCCTGTTGACAGTTCACAAGCATCGAGCTCCTCACCCTGTTGATAATTCATACATTTTTCTTTTAATGGCACTTCATATCAAAAAGGTGGCCGACCCCTGCTATTGAAAATAATTATTATTCAGCTTGAGGGATAATTTGGAAGTAGTGATATGTTAAATATATATTGAAACAAATGGAAAGGTTCATATCAACTGCCCAATAAGGTGAACAGAGAGAACCTGCCTGTAAGAAAATATAGTTCCTCTTGTAAGTTAAACTGGGCATGAGAGCCAGAGATAAAGAAACGGACCAAGGGGAAATATTTCACCTACCTTTCTGGCTTAAAGCTGGCTGGAGCTTTAATGAGCCATAACTCATTGCTGTTTTCCTCCAGATTCTTTTTAAGAGTGCTGCTGCAGGGCTTATGTCTGAAAGACACAAAGTCAGCAGGACACTGGTACTGCTGCATCTTCTTCTCTGTGGATCAGAACAGAACACATGTCAGCACGTCGCAGAGCATTGGAAATACACAGAGCAGCCATGTGCGAACAGTTGTGACTCGTGAGCACTCTTTTTATTGAATTAACTTGAACTTATTACCTTACTTGTGAGTACCGCTCCCCTATGAAATATTTTCTATGGTGCCACACTGTTATTTTATGAAACAGAGATTTGAAATGCTGGTCATTTAAATGGTATCTCTAAAATATTGGATGACACATTGCCGAGCATCGTTTTGAATTAAACTAAACTGATGTTCATGTTAACATAGATAGGGCTAAGATTATAGACATTGTATTGTATACAGCAGGGGTGCCCAACCAGTCGATCGCGATCGCAGGGAGATTCCCAGTCGATCGCGAGATGTGTCTAAAAATAGAACAACAATATTCTGTTTTATCGTTAATGTCCTATAACATAATCTTCCTGTGCCAGAATAATGCACTTGAACGCATCAAAGCTTTGTGATTGGCCGGCGTGACCCCATGTGTCGGGGCGTGGCTAGTGGGCAGTGCACTAGTTCGCTAACGTTGTCCGTGTCAACAGGAGTGACAGTCCGCACACACACAAGACCGCAAAACATATATAATTTTCACTCCGAGTGGGAGGATGATTATTTTTGTATCTATGCCAATTCAAAGTCCATCTGTCTCATCTGCAATGCGAGCGTGGCTTTATCGAAGAAGGGTAATTTAGGAGCGGCATTTCAAAACAGTGCACAAACGCTACGAGACGGAATCCCCTCCTAATTCTGCCCTACGCTCCCAAAAGGGGAGGGGCCTGAAAGGACAGCTAAATGCACAGCAGTCCATTTTCACCAGGCCCAACAACAAGAGCAAGGCTGCTACCAGAGCATCTTATCGTGTCAGTCACGTTCTTGCGAAACACATGAAGTCTTTCAAAGACGGCGAAGTTGTGAAAGAAGCATTCCTGGAGGCTGCCGACGCGCTTTTTGGTGACACTAAAAATAACAGTAGCATTCAAAAAGGTTTTTGATATAATAAAAACTCAAGTTAGATACCGTTATTAATCAGCTGTAAGTTTGAGTTTGTTTGAACTTATTCATTATAATTATTGTACAAAATGGTATAAGAATGCAAACTTACATTTATTATAGTCATCAATTCAGGTTAAGAAACTAGTGTTGCTTGCATCCTATTTTAAAAGGCATTTCTTTTTATAATCTACTAAAATGCAACAAAAAAAGGGTTTGATTCTATTAATTTTGTCTTTTTTATTGCACTGTTGCAGCAGATTCCTGTAGCTTCAGATCTGAGTTGTCTTATTAGTAAGCCTAATTTATACTTTTGTATATAATGGCAAAGAAAGGGTTCAGAGTATTTTCTTTTTTTCCTGTGTCATATGTGGCAGCACTGTTCAATGTTTCTTGAAAACATTACCCACTGTAGTATGTGACGTGTGAATAAACTCCAACTCGGTATCAACAACACAGTTGTGTAACTTCAGTTAAATACTTGTATGTGTGTAGATTAGAAAGAGGTAAGATAAAGGATCTGCAGTATTTTATGAAGTATTAATCGTACAAAGGTCAGTTTTATACAAGTGGAAGTGTGTATTTACCTGGTAGTAGGCTGTCAGTAACTACGCCTCTCTATTTGGACTGGTAGATATCTGCAGTCTGGCAACTTTAAAAGTAGCTCTCGGTTCAAAAAAGGTTGGGCACCCCTGGTATACAGTATAACAGGCAGTTGCACTTTACGATGACATTCTTAAGCTCAGCTCTCCACACCTACATATTTAGAAACTATACATACAAACAAACATATAAGATAAAAAGTAGCATATCTATCTATTTAAAAAATATATATAAGCTCACATACATTAAACAGTTCTTGTCCCATAATAAAAGTGCATGATGTGCTGCATGATAAAGCTAACAATAGCTACACTGTAAACATATATTGTTCTCTTGCAATGAATACAACGAGTAGTGTAAACCCTGTATGTGGGGCTGAGCCACTACAGCCTACTGTACTGTGTATTTACTTGCTTGCATTCTATTCCAGAGTAAAGCTGCCAACATGAAGCTGAACTAAACATTAGCAACAGCAGCGTTGTGCATCCGACATGTGAGAACTTACCAGTTTCTTTCTGCTTTACAGATGATCCTGTAGTGTTATTGCCCTCATCCTCGCTTGATGACATGTCTCTAGACATTCTTAGGTTTACTAATAACCACAAACTGCTCAAATGACAAGTTTTCTACACCAAAACGCATGGCAACAGTGGACGCACATGTGTTGACGCCAGATGACCTCTGAACTATAGTTACTTCACTTCCGTGGCAGTTTCTGATGTAGTTCTAAAACAAGCCACTGTACGTTGGTTTGCGTTGACAAAACCTGGGCAGGAAACTCAAACACCCAAAATGCACCTCGAAAGGTTACGTAACGCTTCAGCGTCCGTCGGGAAGCAGTTGACAGCAGCAGACAAGAGCAGGCCGAAGTGGGTAAACAAAACAAACATATGAAAAAAAGAGCAAAGAAAACCGAACACTTTGCTATAATTTTATATCCGTAGGATGTTTAACATTGTTATTAAGCGGCTTGAATTCCGTTAAAGAAGAAAGTATTTTGCAAAGGAGGGCGTGCACCTGCCAGAGCTAAACAGGTTAACCTATAGCTAACGTGTGCTAGCAGCCTCTCAGGTTAGCAGGCTAGCCTTGCAGCCATGTCGTCCCCCTCCTCCTCCCGGCGCCAGTGGTGCTACCTGTGCGACCTGCCGAAGATGCCGTGGACTGTGGTGTGGGACTTCAGTGAGGTGGTTTGCCGTGGCTGCGTGAACTACGAAGGAGCTAATCAGATAGAGTTCCTCATAGCGAGTGCCCGACAGCTGAAACGGACCCATGGGATGCAGGACGGTAACGTCAGGTCACCTGGTCCCTCGCCCAATAAACACGGCACATCTGGCAGAGGAGATGCGGAGGGAGGCAGGCCGCACATGGACCGCTTCGAAAGGGGAGGAAGAGGAGAAGTCACCGTGTCAGCTATTCGTGTGCCCCCCAACGGGCTGCACCGTGACGGCCAGCCTCAACAAGAAGTAAACCGTCAGAGCCCCAGCGGGAGCAGAAGACCCCTGCTAGGCGCTACTATCAATCCTAACCTCATAACTCAAAGTATCGCAGGGATTCCCCATGGGCTACTTGCGGGCATGACGGCGGGTCTGACCGCCAGGACAGCCCCTATGAGCAACCCCATGATCTTCCCTGCACCGGTGCTGTCCGAGATGAGCCGCAGACAGCTGGGGATCGGGATGGGGATAGCCCCTTTCATCACTCCGGAGCTGGAGCGAGAGCTCAGTTCATCCCATAACCAGTCCAAGAATCAGACGCAGATCCACAGTGCTGTGGCTGGCAGCAGCTCCAGCAAGAGTTCATGCCTCCCTTCTTCATCCTCGACCCCAGCTGGAGGTGTGAGCCAGACCAGCCCCAAGCCTGCCTCATCTCCAGCCAGGCAGCCACGTCCCCTAACCTCCAGGTCTGGAGGGGAACCCCTTGGATCCAGCTCCTCAGCAGAGGCGGCCACCACAGCTGCAGCGTTACCCCACAGTGGTGCCTCTGAGCTGGGATCGGCATCTGCCAGCAACACCCATTCCACAGGAAACACTCTGTCGTGCACTCTGTGTCATGAGAGGCTGGAAGACACACACTTTGTACAGTGTCCATCAATGGCCGGGCATAGGTTGGTTCTGTTTTCTATGTAGGTCTTTTTGAGGTTGCATATTGAAGTGAACAGCCTAAAAACATTTGTTGTATATTTTTCTATTTTTAAAATACTTGGTTTTGAGACTAACTACCAATTCAAGAATGCTTTCTTATTTCTTATTACAATAAGTTACTGAAATATGTATAAGTGGATGTCATCTCTCACAGCAATGCGTAATAATGTATTCTTTAACTCCACCAAATGTAGGTTCTGCTTCCCCTGCACCAGAGTGTACATCCAGAGCCGGCGGGGCGATGGGGAGGTGTACTGTCCCAGCGGGGAGCGCTGTCCGTTGGACACGTCTCCCAACAGCCCCCCTTGGGCCTTCATGCAGGGAGAGGTCTCCACCATCCTGGGCTCTGGAGGAGCAGGAGCTGCATCAGCTGCTGCTCCTGGAGCCGGGAACGGGCCGGGAGCAGGGCCCGGGGCCGGGGGCGGAGCTGCCAGCGGAGACGTGACTGTCAAAAAAGAAAGGGAGACGTGATGGGGATTTCCATGGAAACCAAGCCAGGACCTAACACAGCAACAGGCAGGTCCACAGCTGTACACTGAGAGCAGCTGGCATAGTGAGGCTATGTAATGAGAAAGCAGCTTAGTTTACTCCAATGTCTTTTGGGATATTGGTATAACAAATGCAGATGAATGAATAAAGGGGTTTTAGAGAGGAAGATATAAAACATTATTAGTCTGCATATATGTTGCATGACAACACCTCTTTCATTGAAACTGTGTTGTAACTGTATTTATTTATGTTCAACATGTGGCTAATCTAGATCACACTGCTTTGATGGTAGGTGGTGTCCCTTGGTGTAATTCTATGTTTTAGGTTTGCTTTTTGTTTCTCCACAGTCACAGCATACCAGAAGGAGGCGTCTGCAATGGAGCTCTGAGAGATCCAGAGGAGAAGCACCACAGCTCAGAAAACATTCACAGGTCTCGACTCCAACTACTCACACCACCAAATTCTATTGACTATTCTATCAATGATCAGACCTGAAATGCCTGATGTACTGTTGGAATCAGATATTCAGGGCCAATCAGCAGTGGCTACTTTTTGTCAAGTTACTTGTAGTTGTGCCAGTTGAAACGGCTGATCACGCCCACATTAGCACTGCCAGCTAGCTACTGTGAGCAGCTGGAAATCAATGGGCTGAAGCAACACATATTTTTCAACAGGAGTTTTCTACAATCCACCAAACTTACAACTACATTACAATAACTCTAGAAATGCTGTAATGACATTCAATATATTCTCACTACATGTTGAATAAGCACCTTAAGAAACAACCAGTGCCAACAGGACTACTGAACTCTATATATAGCTACTCACCAGTGTATTCATATATCATTATCATTGATTTGATCTGCTAAAGGTAGCTAGCATAGCAGCAGAAGGTAGCTTGTTAGCAGTATAGCAATGTTTTTTGTTTCAAATGACCCTTCTTAAACTCACAGAGAGTAGCCATGGTCCACAGTGTTTTGCCAGAAAGCACAAAAGCTTATTTTGAGGAATCCAACACAAATGCTGTTCTAAAATAGCAGCCACGGTTGTTCTATATTTCTTTCTCTTGATGATCAAATGTTTGCCGGCAGCATGCAGTGGAAGCCAGTTAGAAGTAGCCATTGTCTCTGCCAGTGCTTGATCCAAACAAAACATTTTTGCGTGTACGAATGCAATTCACGTGAACAACTGACCGTCAAATCCATCAAATGGACCGTTATAATGAAAAGTGTACCTTACATTTGAAAGACAGATGTAATATGTCTTAATGTTTTATGACTGAATCTGTGTCCTGCCATACAACCTTTTTTCTTCTAGAAAATAGTCAAAGAAATCTCCTCTAAAACGACATGAAATATGGACATAATGCCAGTAATGACATTTCTCTTTGTGTGTTTTTGAGTTGTTGATGTTGAATAGAGCTGACAGTGAGGCAGAGAAAGGAGAGTGTGAGCAGAGACCCGGTGTGTGGAACTCTATCTAAATGTTGCTTTCATACCAGATCAGCCCAGCCTACGCTTTACCCCGAATGTATATTGAAGATATCTATTGATAGGCCTAGGACTATTTTATACTAGAATGTTCAATGTTAGTATATACTGTATAGATCTAATAGTTTGTGCAATCCTTAGTCATATGCAAACATTTGTAATTAAAACTGATTGTTTATAATTTCTTAAAGATGTATTTGTTTTAAAAGTTAGAATCCACCTAAAAGCAGAACTGTTGTTTCTCCCGATGGACGCAAGACTTCCGATCACATTATTGGAACGCAGTCCATATTTAAAAAATAAAAAAAAATGTTTTCATGGTTGAACTCGGCACATGGTGACATTAATGATCTTAATTTGAATCAATCACAGTCTTCTGAAATGTGCTTTCCATTCACGTCCATAGAACCATTCATGGACGATCACACATACTGTAAATCTGACCAGAGAATGTACAAATATTTAATGTTCATGAATTGAACAATCCAAAATTGGTCACACATTTTATACAAATGGTCTTTTCGGGGATTCTTTCTTTATGCTCTACATGTACTCTGCAGTACAGAAGCACAGACAAACCAAAGGTAACTACGCCCAAATGGATGTTTCTGGATGTAAATGTTTTATGGAAATCTATATATATGGCTATACTTCTTGGCCAGGTCTCAACCGGCTTTTCTGCATCAAGCCGTTACAGTTTACAGCCACGTGGTCTACTGTAATAATGGGATTTCATATTAAAAGTCTACAGTATGCAGCAAATACTGTTATATTGATGAGAGTCCCACAGATCAGGTGTGTTGTAGAAAAATGCATTTGAAGAAGTGGAATTTCAGTTTAATATGCACTGATACGTCATGCAATCCCTTGTTAAGTGCCTTTTTAAATGTTTACCGTCTGTTTGTGTGTCTGGGAACCTCAGGGGAAGTGCAATGGCTTCTTTTATTGTTTGCTCAATGATTAACCTGTCCCTGCTGCCGCCATCACACGGCTCTGCTTTGATCGAGCCTTTGTAAAGGGGCCAGCCATTCATTGTCTCTCCTCACATCTCTTCCTTTCTTTATGTGTCATCTAGATCTGTTGGCTTTATTGCAGCTTCATGTACAAAATAGAAACCAGGAATAAACGGGATGGAAACCTCTTTTCTCTTTCTTGAGCTGAATATTTAGTCCTGTTAAATACTGAGGGCAACTTCCATCAAGATAAAAGTGTGTCATGACTTAAATAATGATTGATTGCAAACTTCACAGACACGTTTCCTGATGAACCCAGCGTAATATGCTATTTCTCATTGAGCTCAGTTGATTCTCTGAACACAAGTCCAGTATTGATTTTGTAACCTTGCATTGTTGCCTTGGAGAAGCCCTTGGATACAGGGACCATAGCTACAATTGATTTTGGACACGCGTTTAATGACATGAGGAGTTCACAGTACACTGACCCATTCATGACACATTTTGGGGCATTCAGAAAGTATTAAGATCTCTTCACTTTTTCCACATCACAGCCTTAGGATTACTTTCATTTCATTAATTTGTATGTGCTATCATAGCCTATGTTAAGTATCATGTACTTATTTTTTAGTTATCAAGTCACGTAGTAAAGAAATAAACGTACACAACCCACATTGGAACCAGACAACCAGAGCAAAAGCCTAACTTTACATAACTGTGTGTATCCAACACAACAGTGCATCACACGGTAAGGACTTCAGCTAACAACTCGGAGATGTAAGGTTTAATCACGTTCTCCTCAACTTCCATGAGGATCATTCTCTCTGATAAGACGGGTCTGCTGTACACAATGTGGCGGTGCAAGAGAAGCAGGACCACAAGTGCACAGGTCCAATCTGTCAGTTGTAAATGTTTCAATATCAAATACAGATATCCTGCTAACAAGGACAAGACCAGAAAATACAACAAGTGCCTTTTTGTCAAAATTGAAATGTGTTACATTGTGTTATTTTCTTTGGATTAAGGTGATCTGTGTATTAGTTAATTTACTTAAATGGATCCTCCCCACACTTCCTCTGTCAACTCCACACCAGATGTAATGTGATACACCACTTCTGCCAGTGTATCTACTTGGTATTTCATCGTGTGCGGGCCTTTTTTAAACACAAATGGAGATGTAATCCTTTATTAGTAGAAGATGTGCTACTTTTTTAAAGAAAGAAAACAACATGATGATGAGAACACAGAGAAGTCCATGTGTGATACAAACCATTGAATCTTGAACTTGGTCCTGCTGGCTTTCATCATGAACATGCAACATGGTTTATTACAAATGAAATATCCAGGTGTTATTCACAGTTACTCCATAGGAGCATCAGTGTCTGTGTAATGAATTGCATTTCAGTTCATTTTCTTTACCGTTGTGTTTTGTGTCTTCCCGTTAATGTATTTAGTCCTGTTTGATTCTTTATCAAGCATATTGTAAATATGTGTTATACATTTAAAGGCAACTTAATTCTAACTCATTCAGGTGTGGCTTATCTATTTGGTCCATATCATTTACAGAAAATGAAAGCTAGGTTTTCAGTTAAAATGTTGAATCATGTTAACTAAACTCAGGATCACATCTTGATGGATTACCGCACAGACTGGTATGGTTTAGTCAGTCACTGTGTTGAAACCAATACAAATATGTAATGGCAGCACATATGACACCAAAAACATTTTCATTTATTTATTGGAAATTATTATTTTGTTGTAATCAGATGAAATAACCCCTTATTTCATTTCGATATCATTTATTTTAAGAACAGGCTGAATTGTACCCGAGGACAACTGTTCAGTCTTTCCAGAGGGAAAAAAAGGTTTTCTGCAGGTTTTCTGATTTCTGGCCACCAGGTGGCGCTTTTATGTTGATTCTGTCTGAAAGAACAGTCTGTCTGGCACCACGTCATGAACTCTGTGTGATGAAGCTGCTCATTTTATCATGAAGAATAAGACGGGGGGGGGGTTGTTAATTATTCCTCCCCGCCGGCCGCCTGCTCCTCGGCTGATCTGTCGTTTCCTCCATTAGCCCAGCTATTGTTAAAGCAATTGTAGAGGTGTTAATGGCCGGTGGAGGGCGCATTGGCATGAAAAGCGGCCCACAGAGAGGATGTGGCTAAATGTGTGTTGGAGAACATGGAGGACCTTAAAGGAGCATTACACCAACCTCAGATGCGTATTTAGAGACAGCTGGATGAGTCATGGCCGAGATACAGAGCTCAGCCCTCAGTGTGTGGGACAAAAGTAAATACACCCTGTTCAAAGAGCATCCATCTGAACACATATTGCATCATTATCATACGATCAGATAACAGTAAATACAAAAAATCAACACAACATCATCTCCACCCTCCAGTTATTCTCTATAATCATCGGAAGTCATTAGTGTATTCCAGGAGAGCAGACAAATGACCATCCATTTTTTATCTTGAGCGACATAAATACAACGGGAAACTGTATTCGAAATCCATGGCATCATATGTCCCACAATCCCCTGAAGGCAACACGTGTCTATGTATGTAAAGCTTTGGAACTCCTGTTGTAGTTTAGTTTTTGTTAGAATGTTGGTTAAAGACCTGTTGGTTGCTGATATGGGAATGAATTCTGCTGTCAGAATGGATACAACATTAATATAAGCTTGGGTTATAGGTTGTTTACTTAGAGGACCAGCCTTTGCTTGAATCTATCTGTTCAGTTATCACATGAACCAAATTGTATAACTTCTGTAGAAATGTACCTCACACAGGCGAATCAATCCCTCAAACTACTTGATATGTTGTTTGTCATTATTGTTTGTTTACTCGTTATGATGATTATGATGATCATAAGCTGGAAGTCACAGCTTTAAGCATACCAGTGTCCACATGAAGAAAGCTCCTCTCCCAGGCTTAATTACATCATTACAGACACGGAGGTGTTAGCTCATTCCAAGTGTTAATCGATCTGACTGCGTTTTGCAAACAGGCGATAATCGCTGAGTGATGGCCTGCAGAGAATACCTCTGACTAGGCTATATGTTGTGTATAGGCCTATAGCTAGACGATGTTCTTATTATTTACCATCAAAGGATCAGCCAGTGAACCACCATTTTATAAAAAGGCAGGAAACTTGAAGGTTCACTGTCTGATCATTTGATGGTAAATAATAAGAACATCGTCCTCTGGTTGATTTGTAAATGGATTTAATCCTCAATATTTGTTCCCGTGAAGGCTACACGACCAAAGCAAGAGATGCACCAATCATGCTCTTAACATGAAAACACTTTACAGATATACAATGCACCGGCTGATGCTTGTGTTGGTGCATCTGCGCGCTCATGTGCCTTCCTGTTATTTCTTATTTCCTCGAGATCTTTTCTCACAGTCTAATCCCGTCGCCCTCCCGCCTGCGCATCAATTACATGTCCATTGACTGGCCATTAGGCAGAGGCATTGACATTCACAGGCCTCCGTCTGCAGCCAGGCCGATGTGTATTCCAGCACACAGGAGCCAGGCCTATATGCATTACAGGATCTCATTATTTATTGTGACTGTCTGCGACGGCGCGCCGCGAAGGCCTCTTTGGAGAGAAAAGGTTCCCATGGAAAATGGTCACAATTACGCACGATTGATCCAAGAGAACTGCTTCCTTTCATACCTTTAAATGTTGATGGTGAGTTTACTTTATTGCAGTGGCACATACATTCACAGAATGTGAAGGCTTATTATCAGTGTGGGAACCTCGAGGGGTTCTCTGATTGGATCTCTGATGTTATTTTATATTTCCCTGACTATCTGACAATCAGGAAAAATATTTGACTATCTAACCCCAGAACATGTAATAAGTTTGGCGGTTGCTCCAATTAAACCCTCAAAGAACGCAACACATTCATATTCAGATTGTAGGCTGGGTTCATAGAAGTGATAGCCGAGGGAATTAATAACTTCCACGCCCCTCAACACACAAAACACACAACAGACTCTCTTTACCAAAAACGTATTCAAGATAGTATTTGTTCCAAAAATGCAATATTATGTGGAACAAGTCGTATCATTTCCTTTTTGGAAATGTAATTGTATTTCCAAAACTGCAGAATACAATTGAAAAATAATGAATGTGTTATGGTTGAAAGGAAGCACCATGCAGCATTTGGGAAAATTATTTAATTGATCCCATTTATAGAACAAATATATAATTTCAAAACCGGTTTGATTATTAACTTGAAAGCATGTTAGTAGTGTGTGTTGGGGGGGGGTGGTTGTGTTATTTTTGCAAGTATGAGTGGGGATGCAATATTATTGAATGACCAGCATGCAGTGTTCATCAACTTGGTTGTTCTTTGATTAATGTATTTGTCTTTTTTCGGTATCATTTTTTTTTTAACAAGTGATGCGATTTTGTGTCATGATGACGTTTTGAATGTAATGTAATTAAATCCCTAATCATTAGGTAAACATTAAAGTATACCAATAAAAGCAATTAATGGGAACTTTGCTGCTATTTTAAAAGGAACAAACTCTCCTCAGCTGTGAGCTGAAGGATTATGGGACGGTCGCAGGTCCGGGTGGCCCCACTGCAGCCGCCGGCCAATATACAGCACGCCAGGGGGCCACATCGGCCTTTTTGCGGGGCCCTTCCTGGATCCTAACACGGTATTGAAATGTCAGGAGTGGGGCGGGCCCCTTCGGCTCCCTATAAGAAGAGGCGTTCAGGTCCCTCTGCTGTATTTGCGCGCTACACCTCCGCCTGCACGCTGCGTCCCGAGGCCCCCGGACAGGAAGAAATGGGCCACCAGAACATCTGCAGACATAACAAGAATATGTTATGAAACAATGGATGCCTGACCAATAAGAAATATTGACTCTACTATTCCCAGGAGCAGAGCGTCACACCATCTGACTTTTTTTTCTCGAACTTTTGATTCTTCCTATTTCTCCGCGTGTCTTGGCAAAAGGAGACATCTGTCTGCTTTGGGATTTTTTCCCCCAGAAAACTTCCAATTTTGTGAAGGATTTTATATTTATTTTCTAGATAAAAGAACGGTCATAGAAACTTGATTCTCCTCCAAAGACTTGTGTTGGGGATGTTGAGCTCTGTGAAGATGGAAGCACATGATCTACCTGAGTGGAATACTTTCTACAGCGAGGCCAGCGAGGTAAA